GCTAGCCAGTAATTAAATCCCAATTTAAAATTTTCAGTGTGTCAAAATGTGCTATCTTGCTTATTCCTTACTATTCTGATCTCTTTTGAGTTAATCACATCAAATGATGTTTAATAATTCAAGCAATAAACTTTTGACAAACTGGCTAATACCTGGACAATGACTCAGCTTACTGTCAGGTCGTGTTAGGATGCAATAATCTTGATTCTTGTTTCATGCAGAGCACAAATCCACGCAGCAACAACATCCTTGCTATATATTCAAGTTGGCACTTCAGTCTCTATTTTGGGTTTTGTTACACTGGTACTCTGCAATAGAAAAAAAAATCTATTTTCTTGCTGCGTTTCCCGCTAGTATCAGTCTAAAGGAAAAGAAAGAAGCAGCTGTAACGGCTAAACTTTAAGAGGTTTAACACACTTTTACTGCCCAATAAGCCGGGTTTATTTTATTTGGCTGAAACCTGGAGAGTAGGTTAGCCGATAAAAAGAGCTTAGAGATGCTCTGACTGCTTGCTAACTGCAGTTTCATAGGTTGTCTTGGTGGTTCTTAGCTGACTGTGGTGTAATTTAGCCTCATTAGCCTCTTGACACAGAAACGACTGTGTCAGACATTTCTGTTCCAAAGTAATTCTGGCTCAGCAGGTAATATATTTCTGGAAATTTCTGATGTAGTGGTATCCCACTGCAGAAGTGATCCTAGTGATTCTAAATGGAAGTGCAAGGATTCATATTTTTGACTGTGGATGGCAGATGACATGGATGGATTGAAAGAACGTTGTGGCATTTGAGGCTTTATGATAATGTTACCTGCACACTGCTCTATTCAGATTTCCTAAACATGTTAAGCTGGGAGGACCCTGGGGTCATGAGGACTGGAAATGGGACTGGGAAGCTGCTGGTTTGCGCAGATTCCAAATACGCAGCAGAAAATGAACAGATTAATGAGATGACAGATTTGTCGAGCAATTAACAATTCAACTTCACCCCAGGGTGAAAATCTTTGAGTGAAAGGGACCAGGTGGGGCATTTCCAAGTTGACCTACAGTGAAAGCGAGGCTTCATTTGAAGAATTCCTTCATTCAGAAGTCATAAAGATATTCCAGGGATATATGGAGACATTTTCAGGTGCAGAACTACAGCAAAGTTAATGCTAAATGAGGCTTATTTTTATGTGTAACTTCAAGAAAGTAATTACATCGTGGACGTTTAGAGAAAGGCATTCAAGTTTAACATTTTAGCCTGTTAATTAAAAACAGTTACATACAGTTTTTATATGGGCTTGTCGGATAGTAAAATTTACATTTCCATCTTTTTCCACATGAGATCAGCAGCATTTCAAATGTAGTTTTATTCGAGTTTTCCTGTCAGCTGGAGTCTTTTGAGCTTGGTTTGTCTCTTCACTGGTATACCTTCAGGGCCACACTGGTCTCCTCTTATGTTGAGCTGTTGCATCTAGCTCTTCCAATTTTAATGTTACCCCATCCCAGTGCTTTCCCTCTCACAAAAAAAGCTGAACTCTCTGAGGTTGGCCGTGGGGGGGGCTTTGTACTTTTTGAAAGAGTCTGAAGAGTCAGTGGTGTGCCCACTGCAGCTGACAGTGGGTGTTACTCAAGCTAACACTTCTTGACTTTCTGTGTCTATTACCTCACACGCCCAGGAACACTAATCTAATAGCTGTTTAATGAGTTATGATCAAAAGTTGTTAAGAATAACATTTTTTGAAGCTTTCCCTTTGTGGAATTATGTATAACTAAACTTAACTCGGTTCACAGAATATTACTCATACTGCATACACCAAACTGGGTATAGTGGGCTGTAGTTTCAAACTGAGTGCTTACACACTCCCAACAGACACCATTACATCACATACTGGTCTCTGGTTTCACATTTGAAACCCTCAACATTAGCATTTTACCGACTGCCCCATTGTTCTACTTGAGCCAGAAGTGACCATATTAGGAAACCATGTTATTTATCACATAATTGCCTGTTTTAGTACATCTTTCAATAATAACAGTCACAATATTAACTTTGAACCTTGACAAAAAAGTTAAGAAATAAGTTCAACTCTGTATAATTGCTATGAAGGGACGATTTAGCTAATAATTTAGCTTTTTTTTTTTTCTTTTTTTTTACAAGACTTCAACAATTCTTCATGGGAGTCATGATTGACAACAAACCATATGAGCTCGACGGGCAACCAGCTTTGACAAGGGGACATTCACCTTAGTCACTTTGCTATTTATTTCAAAATATTCCAAAATCTCAGGCGGCTGAGGCAGTTTTTGTGTTTTGCAATTACAAGTAGGGTCGTACTTTCAAACAACCTCTTTTTAGTTTCAAAGAGATATGACAGGTACTTCCCAGAGTTTGACCTGCACAGGCCCATCCACTCAGTGTCATCCTCTGTCATGCTCGTCATTACGACTGCTGCAGAACTACTGTTGATCAAATAATAATGAATTCAATAAATATATATTTAATTGAATCGATATGGGCAAATTGCGTGAATTAGTGTAACTTACTTTAGTGAGACTTTACTGGGTGGGCCTGGACCCCTGAAGCCCATCCAAAGAGTTGATGCTGATGGGAGTCATCTCTAAAGTCTTCAAGCTTCAAGTTGCCATTAGCAAAACTGCAGTTTTGGCACTCCCATGTTGACTTATTTTCCAGCCACAGAGATGCCACCGCTATGACCTACTTACATCACTCAAATTAAACCACTATATTTTTAGCTGATGTCCACTTGGTCGTTAACACTTGGATTAGAGCATTCACACTCTCCTTTACAAAAGCAGAGCCAAGGGGCAACATCTCCAAAAGTTGATTCTGTTCATCTGGACGTAGCGTTTTGTGGGAGAAACATTTCGTCACTCATCCAAGTGACTTCTTCAGTCTCAGCTGACTGCAGGTTTCCCCAGATCTTATAAACAGTACATTTGCATAATGACTGAAACCAGCCCAGTGAAGAAACAATGGGCTGGGAGGTCAGTTCCTTAAATTGAATTATGCTACGCTACGTCCAGATGAACAGAATCAACTTCTGGAGATTTACTTACCTGGATGATTGAGCAAGCATCAAGAGACAACATGGTAACTAAGGACCTGATTTCAGAGATAGAGCTCAAACTTTGTTTTTACTTTAATAATACCGCTCGGCAAATATTTGACTACATATCGATTCTTCTGAAACTCCAAATATTGCATTAATGATTTTGTTGAATCAGACCAAATACACTAAGCTGGCTGTATACATGACTGATACGTGACTGTAGGAATGCAGTTCAATATGCATGAGAAGCAGTTGGGTTCTGGACGCGTTCTTCACAGAATATCACTGGATGGACTGAAGGCAGACTCACTGATGTGGAAAACAGATCTAAATGGTCGCTACTAATTTATTTATCTGCCATTGTGGACTTCTTTGCAGAAGCTGACGGATTGTTTCAGTGCGCCAGTCACTCATTAGCCTCCCCCAGCACAAACGGATCACGCTGAGCAAAGATTTCAGTTCATAATTAATTCAAGCTTAGCAGCCTTTTCTGCAGTGGTGAGATGCAGCGCTCATACTTTGCATACTTAAGTAAGCAAGAAAATTCCTTTGTTTTGATTTTGCTCACGTTCTAAAGCGACGGTTTGCTGGGATAAACCGTGTCAATAAGCATAAAAGCTGTAGGCACGCAGAGGTTATCTTTTTTTTTTCTTTTTTGACCAAGCCTGCATTGTAGGGAAGTTTGTTTTGATGCTGCTTTCATTGAGATTGCCTTTAGCTAAACAAACTTTTCTCATTCATTAAAATTCCATTTCATGCCCTCATACTAATCAAACTTTTCTCTCTCCCAGTAAAAGCTATTTGCAATAAGTCCAGGAGTCCTTTGTGTTGCCCGGTTCTTGTGCACAACCATTCAAGGCTTTTTGGGAGAGCAATCAAGTACTTCAGGGTCTGTTTTAAAGAGACTGTTGGCAGCCAAAAAAGGTCTGAGAGCCAATCTCACCTCTGCATGCCGTGTTTTCGGTGACTGTGCTTGGAAAGGAGCCACCTCACACAAGGTACGCACAAGGCTGACACTTTGCAATTACTCATTTCAATCAGATTTCATATTTAAGTTAAAGCATGAAGGCATGGTCCACCCACCCACACACCTGCTGTCATCAAGTGAAAGCCAACAGATTTGTTCTGATGTGAAAAATGCATTGCTCGGTTAAGCTTTGCTTCCAGTCTGGAAGGGCGGGGATTTGGGAAGGTAAAACCAGGCAGAGAGGAGATAATAGGATTTATTTGACTGTGTTTTTGAGTGTTTTCAACAAAACTGAGCCTCGTCGCAATTAAAGAGCTTGCACAAGCCCAGAGGTGGATTTTGGCTAAGTGACGACTCATCTCATCAAGTGTTGAGTGTGCAGGTAAATAAAATGAACTTGGCTGTAAGAGTGTGTTAAAATCGCTTCAAGTTTGACAGTCGCAGCCACTTCGTTGCTAAAATCAAACAGCTTTATTTGAAAATAAATGATAATTGTGTTTTTAACCCTTGTGTGATCCAGATGCATGCACCCACACTGAGACTGTGCTGCTTTTCACATCGGGACTTTGGAGAAACTTGCCATTTGCCATGCTCTGGTGCCTCTGTGGGTTATAGCACATGCACTGTCCTTTTAAACCAGCTTGCTACATTTGAAAAATGTTGTGCACTTGCTTTCATCTCTTGCCAGCTTTTGAGCAACGACGCACCTTGAAAATATGCTTTACAAAAAGATTGCTTGTTAGAGCCATTTATTTTAGGTGGAGCATGGAGCAATGCATTTTAAAGGGACAGTTTTATAGGAGTGTTAATTTGTGTGTCTTTTTTTTCCGTAACTCTTTTTGAATCTAGAGAATTGCAAACACTCAGAAACACACATTTGCATATACATGGTTTATACTGAAAACTAATTTCTTAGTAAATCAAAGACTATACATCTGAGCATGTGCTCCAGGTGCATTTGCTGTGTGAATGTGAACAGTACCTTAATAGCAGAGGTGGCAATCTGGAGGTGGTGCAGTCGCCTCAGGGTGCTCTCTCGATCTGTGAAGTAGGAAGCGGCCAGCTGATGGAGCAGCTCCAAAGACACTACTGAGCTGTTGCTGTTGCCTTCGGACTTCTTATTCAGCTTCTGCTTGTCCAGGAAAATGGTCAGAGACTCTTCTCCTGTGGATCGATGATAATTATTCAGCACTCTGTGATGAACAGTTTTCATTGAGAAAATCATTTGTTTCTTTCTGAATCCTCTTTAACGTGGATAAAAAGCCAAATGAAGAAGAGCGCGTACGTTATATTTGGAAAAACTGGAGTGACAATCTTTGAGTTTGACATTTCTTTGGAAATGCCTTCAGGTTTTGTGGTTAGTCTGCTGAGGTGCAGGTACTGTATCATTTGGATTGGCAGCAACAGAACCATTGCCACTAAATTTGGACACAGGCAAGAGAGGAGGTTGTATTCCTTCCCCAGACACCAATCGTTTGAAATTATGAAAGGCGAACGTGGCATTTATCTCGTGCAAGCTAAAACATGTAAGCAATATAAAGCGTGAGCAAGTATTTCTCAGCAATGCCAGCAGCTACTGATGTGGGAAACTTTTTAACAAATCACATGAGGCAGGATTCTCTTACTGTAAATGCACCAAACACCTTTTTATTTGCCCGTGTAATGTCCAAATAAATTGCAGACAGCTCTTAGTGTAATTTCTCTAAAACTTTCAGAGTGATAAGTTCAATTACTGGACACTACAGGGAACACTTTATTCCCAACCTCCCTAAATTGAATCTGAATGGGAGCTTAAGCGTGATCTTTAGCAAAGCTGCCACTCCAAAAGTGTCTTGCTAAGCATAAGATTTGCTTAGAAAAGCCACATTTTCTTGGTCTTCAACAAAACACACCATTATTTATGGATGAGCGCCAAGAGGCTTTAAAGCCATTCAGAGAAACACAGAGAGACTAACTCTGATCTGAAATTCATGGGTGTTCAGTTATTTGGGAAGCGCAGGGTGTTTATATTTACCGCCACCTTTTCATTTGAGTTTCTATTGCAAAGTGCAAGGTCACAACTACAGCCAAAAAGTACTTTTGTTCACAAAGTGTAAGGCAATTCATTTTATTAATGTAAAAGGTACCTTTCTGAGGCTGAGTGGCTTTTTTTTTTTTTGGGGGGGGGGGGATGAATCAGTTTTTCACTCTTTCACTTTCACTCAACTGTTTAACAAAATACACTTAGATGTAACCACAGCAGAAGAAAAGAGAACAAAAACCAGATATTTCATGCGTTTTCACTCTGCTACAGTAGTCAGTATGCAGAATGGATCTGCCCATTTAGTCGAGGCTGTTAATTACACATAGACACTATCAGTGTGACACTGCATTCACCCCGGCTCCATCTCTGAAACTGCTCCAGTGCATACATTCAGTGATAAGTGGCATTAAAGTTAGGCGTCTGCAGACGTGAATATCAGAGCGGCTGTTAGGAGACTGTTCCTGTGAGAGAACCGGATTTGTCTGCTATGTGAACTGTGTTTGGGTAATTTTGGTATTAAACATTTCAGGCCTGAACCGTGAAATAATTGAAACTGAACCTTCTGACAATTTTTTTCAAAAGTAATGAAATTAATTATTAATTTGCACATTTGAAGTTTTTTTGTGTTTGTTTTTTTTTTTCAATTTATTGCTGAAAAATGTATTGTGCAATTTATGTTGGTTTTTCAAATATGATGCACTAGACGTTAAGTTTTAGACTAATTATATCATCGCAAAATCTCCAATTTCATATATTCATAGCATATTTTATGTGGCTGAATGATCTGAGTAAACTAGTAACCTAGTAAATCCTGACCGGGTCCTTACATATGCCTAGACTCACTATCACTCCTTGCAAATGTACTTGTATATCTGCACTATACTAGTTGATGACTGAGATTAGGTGTTTATCAATATCACTAGGTTGTCATCTTGAACACTACACAGGTCTCACTCTTGTTTTTGTGACCCTCACACGATCGATGCTGCTGCCGATCTGTTTTGTGAGTTACTTCTCTCCTTGGGGATTGAGGCAAAAAAGAAATCCAATGAAGAAACACGGGGGTATGAAACAGGTCATTTTAATCCCTCTTCTGCTCTGCGAGGCTCTAATGTTCATCAGAGGGAACGATGAGTGGAAAATTACCTCTGAGGGAGACAAGCATTGTTGAGTGCTGCAAGTGCAAGATGTAAGCATTGTTGCTATTTCTACTTAAAACGTGAGACTCTTTCTTGGTATAAAAGGACAGCTAGACTCCTGGAGCTACACTAACACAGGCAACATCCTCCGAGACCTAAAACGAACGGTTTCTCTATTTCTGGCGTGTCCCGACACTTCCTAACCCGAGAATAAAGGAGAGTGTGTCACCTGCAGTCCTCCCTTACCTCCCAGGGTGGCAGTAACCAAGAAGTGGGTCCCGTACTTCTTGATGAGGTTTTCATTGATTTGCTGCAGGGTTGGTCGTCGGCCCAGTAACCGCAGGTTGCGTAGGAACTCTGGTGCTAAGGGCAATGGAGATTTGAGGAAATCTCTCTTCTCCGTAGCCAGGCTGTTCACCTTCCAGTGGCTGAACTCCCTGAAATTATAAATACATGAAAAAGTGATTACATGCTCGAGCATTTTAGCATGATGTGGAATTACAGGCAACTGACTAGAATATACTGCTAAATATAATGACAGGAACATTTAAGGTTACAGTTATACATTTCTGAAGTGACTACAGAGAGAGAGTCTACTTATTGCACAATGGTCCCTGGAAAATCATGACTTGCTGTCTTTCATTGTGAGATTGTCTTGACCATTATATGTTAAAAAAAGGTCTCCGCAGGTCACAAAAAAAGAAACGTCTGATCTATTCTTATCTATAATGTGATCCTATTGGCCAACGTCATAAAGATCACAGACAAAGTAACACTTGTTGTGGCGTGTTAACACTGTATGTATAAGAAACAGTCTGGTGTATGAATGTGTGAATGCATGAATAAAGTAAAGTACTCTAAATGGTCAAAAGTTTAGGAATTTGTTATAGATAATGTGCAAATCTGTGACAAAATAAAGATATATTTATATATGATGAGCTACACTGAGAAATATTCAAAAGCCCCAACGTGAGTACAGATGTAGGAGTCATGCAAAAAAGCAAATATTCACGGGATAGTCAGGGTTAAAGTGGGATGGTGGGGAACCGTAAAATCAGCTGCAGTGGGCCGGCGTTTGGAAAAGAATTAAAGCTCAAGATAACTTCTATCGTAAACTCGAGTCATTTTTCTTTGTGTCCAGGCTGGCGTCAGCTCACATGTGCTGCTGTGGCTCTGAGGTTTACAACAAGCTGTAAGCAGATGTTTCACAGCTATCTTAGCAGATTTCTATTCAGTCCCCTGACAGTTCACTTTATACTGTTTTTACACCAGACAATATAGAGTTGGTATAAAGGTTTAATACATTTTAGAACCATCAGCTGAAATTCAAATTCATCAGTTGATATAACTTAAATGACCACGAGCACCACAGCCACCGTTGGCCAGTCCAACACAGTGCTTTACTGTAAATTCACAACAGTGTGGTGAGCTGCTTATCCTGCACTAAATAAAAAGCACTGGTGATGGAGGATATAGGAGTGTCTTTTACGTGTTCTTGTTCCCTCCATTTAAATCCAAATCTGGTTGATTTTTTAAGATTTACAGTGATGTCAAATAAAGCCGGGGTGTCAAATGTGTTTGGCTTAAAGAAACAAGCCTGTTTTGAAAATGTAAGGAATAGAAATTACAAATATTGGAAATTTGTGCAAAAAATGTGAAGAGTAGCAATAAAAAGTTGTCAGAAAACAAATACTGAAGTGAAGTACAGATGCCTGAAAATTCTACCAAAGTAGAGTAACAAAGTATTTGTATTGTTTTTCTTCACACTTCTGCAGACAGACAGCCTGGGGTAAGAAGATCACACACCCCGGGCATTCCAAGGTTTGGGACTGTAAAGAAAGTCCGTGTTTTCCACCAAATACAACCTAGCGACTCATTAAATGCAACATGGATGTCAGGAGACGCTATCAGTATTCTCAGTTGCGGTCGTGTTTGTTCACATTTAATTCAGTGAAATCTGAAAGATGAATGTGGTAATTATTAAATGGTGCTAGAACTTTACATTTGGGACATGTCCTTAATTAAGCAAATTAGGTTGGACCACGCTGGGCTTTCTGTAACCAGCAACACTATTTTCAGATTGCTGTTGAATATCACTGATAAATTCAAGAGACATCACCCTTCTGTATTCAGTCAGTGTCAAATGCCTCATAAGAGCCTCAGACCTTTTGATCTCTTATTGTTATGACTTTAAAATTATGGCAGAAAAAACACTAACATGTAATGTCTGTGAAGGTTCTCAGTCATCCAGGTCATCGTAGTCAAAGGAGCTTGCAAAGAAAAGCGTCTGGACTTCTTTAAGTTGCTTGAAGACGTTCCAAGCTTCTCGGATGAGAGGTGAAACGTCTTCAAGCAACTTAAAGAAGTCCAGACTAACATGTAATCTGCATGGTTTACATATATTGGTGTATTAAACCCATTATAAGTATATTAAGCGCATAAACAACTATGAATAAACCTTTTAGTTACTTTAACGTAGCAGCTTATTGTTTTGATTTCATGGTCTCTAACTGTACAGATTTGATTCAGTCTGGCAGCTGTTATGATAAGCATAACATTTGCCTGGGAGCTGGTGCAGAGAAAATAGTTTCTGGACTCACACTTGGTGGGTGGCTAGAAACACCTGTCAATATTAAAGTTAAGAATATGAATATATAACATTTCTGCTTGTTGACTGTGCAGCCTTGCATGAAGAAATTGTCAGTGTTGTGATTAGAGCCTGGTATGACATGCACAAGTGCCCAGCTGTCTTCGTTTCAATCAAACAAATAAATAAAGTTAAGCTTAAATGAACGTTAACCACTATTGGGAGTTTATTTTTTCCAAAACTCATGCAGCAATAGCTCTTTCATCACATCCTGTTGAGAACTTGAAACCTTGCATCATGTCTAAAGTACAGTAATCCCAATCATGGCCTAAAATGACATGAAAAGTTGGCAGTGCATATACTTGATTTGAAAGAACTTTCTCCCTATAAACAAATCCAGGATGTCACATATAAGTTTGCAGCCTTAGCAAAGTTTAAATAACTAAACCTCTGGTGAATCCAGTTCTTTAGCTGTCCAGACAAATGCCAGTGGCAGTGACAATGACCTTAAAAGTGGTCAGAGAGAGGGATGAGTCTGGAAAAGCATTTTAAGTGACTGATGGTCATTTCATCACTTTACTACTTCAACAGTGGAACCCTGAGGTATGTGAGGAAGATTATGCAAATCTCAGAAGAAAAGTTCAGATCCACCTCATCTGCATAAATTTGCTGGCAAAACAAGGGAAGTTGAATCGTAGCACATTATGCACCAAACAAAATGCCAGCAGTGATACACCGCTTTCCCATGAGTGCACTCTTTCTCTCTCGCACATCCTCACAGTGGAGCATTCACAGAGGGAGACACATATGCAATATCATTGCCTCACTTGCACTAGCTGCTCTCACATTGCATTTTTATGGTCAAAAGTTTACTATTACCAACACAAAATTGTAATTATGCTGTTCACAGCGTTGTGACTAAACCACAATACGCTACTTCCTGTAATAATACAGAGTAAATATGCATAGGTCATTCAGATAGTACTACAGTAAAGACAGCAATGCACTGTAATTAGTTTTTAGTTCCTGCATTGCATATTAGTCTTCAAAGGAGAGCTGGGATTTGTAGCCATTTAGCACATGGCATGACAAAGCCTTCCTCAGAAGGAATGGCCTCAGGAGCGTACGGTCAAACTAGTGCTTCATTAGGAGGTTCATTCTCACATAATGCACCAATTAATGTCTGTAGTCTGGCCACAGTCACAGCACAATTTGTTCACGCTATCATTAACTCACAATGTTCTCCCATGAAAGGAAGGCAACTCAGGGAAAGCAAGTTGGAAGGTTTAATGCTGCAAAAAAAAAGTGTTATAAAAAAGATCAAGAAGCGCAAGATAAAGCTTTGTTTTCTCACTCTTGTGTGTTTTCTTCTCTGCACTCTTTAACTTAAGGATTCAAATTATACAATAAAAAAACGCTCAGATTCATTAAATTAGGGCTGGGTATCGTCACTGATCTCTAGAATCGATTCAATTCCGATTCACAAGGTCCCGAATCGATTCGATCCACGATTTCATTCAATTCGAATCGGGGAAATTTTGACTCAGACAGTCAGAAATATTATAATTCTGATCACGCATCAGTACATTTCCATATTTTTTGCCTATAAAAAGACAGCTGACACTTGTGAGACTTTATCCAAGGTGTGAGCTTCACAGCAGATGCCTTTGTGTCAAAGTAACTGAGGATAAAACACAGAAAAACATGAAGGAGATTTTCCTGGCCTGGGATTTTATAGCAGATGATCTTAAGAATATTCTGCAGTAGATCAAAAACGAAAGAAAACCATTAATCAACATATGAACATTACCTGATGCTGCTGACGTGAAGCAGAGCAAAGTTACAGAGGTTTTAGAGACACAGCTGAGCGTTTTGCAATTTTGCATAATTTAAAAAAGTAATTTTAAAATTTGTTCAGAAGCCTATTGAGCGGCAGAAATGAGACTTTCTTTTTGGAAGTAAGTAAAAGGAAAACACAGCGGCCCACAGCGCTGTAAACAACGGTAGACTTGTGCGTAACAAGCAAGCGAATAATGCAGAAAACAGATTTTTAGACGGGAAACTGTTCTTGAAGTACAGAGAGAGAGAGAGCTGTGCATGAAGTGTGATTTTATGCTGGTGGAAGCAAAACAGGAAAAGTAAGAGGGAATTCATGATGATGTTTACGTGAAGCGAAATGTGAAGCATAGTTTGGATCTTCTTTTGCTGCTGGTTTAGTCAATATTGTTTGGAGAGAGATTAAACCTGCAGCTTTTGAATCAGTGCAAAAAGGACGTGAACACAAAGCGCGGAGCCGCCGACAGATCAGAATCGGTGAGCTGTCCGCGCCGTCGGGTGAGAAAGGCGACGTCTCACTGATTCTGATGCGTCGGCGGGTCCGCGCTTTGTGTTTACGTCTTTGTGCAGAATCCGTGTTCCTGCTCTCCTTTACTGTTTTAGCTGTTTGGTGGTCGTTGAAATTTTGTGAGGTTTGACCTGAGGGCAAAATAAATTATATTTAAAAATCGATTCAGGATTTTAATGAATCGATATCACGTTATCCAAGCTAGAATCATCAAACCCCAGCCCTACATTAAATTAGGGTTCTTCAAACTTAAGGTTTAAAAATCATCTTTTTGCATACTGTACCTAACGGGGCTTTGCTAAGCATTTAAACTGACTTTTGTTCTAGTTAGTTTTTCTTATACTGCAAGTTGTGTCTGCATTAACTGATATCCTGTAATCTGCATAAGCAACACTGATTAGCATGTGATGTTCTCAGACCTTCTGGGGATTTTTAAACATTTAAAAACACAAGTTGTCATGTATTGTAACAACATTCTAGTAAATAAACATGTCACCAAAACATTC